ATTTTTTTTTTCATAATTATTACTGCGTTAAAATTGTGTCAGACGTCACGCTTTTGTACATTTTCTACAAACGTGCTACATAAACTACATTTTCTGTGACGTAGCATGCCCACTCCTAAACTTTAATGCCTGTTACCTAAGCTATTTCTTGTTAAATTGAAATAAAAAAGTATCCAATATTTTACTATTATCTGACTGTCGGACTAAATAGAATTTCCTTTTTTTACCCAGTTTTATAACCACACAAAAGTTATAAATTAAAAATATAATAACATGTAATTGGATTTCCGTTTCTTCGAATCATTTTATTCTGAATTCCTTTGTTACTATGAGTTATTTATGTAATTATATGTAGTTCACATATATATTTACGCAAAAAAGCACGCAATATTTATTTGATGTAGTTGTGCAATCAATTGCAGTCCCGTTTCTGATCAAATAATTTCTTATTACTAAGACCGTAACAAGTGGGGTTCACCTGTACTGTTTACTGCCAAAAAGAACAATAAATTACTTACCGCGCTAGCACAAGGTATTCCTATTTGACATGTATAGTTATGTTTCAGAGAGCGGCAGGGTTGGTGCACAGTATGAGCGGGCAGCGGCGCGGCCGGGTACACCGCTGCGATTAGCGGGCGTATTCGCGGATGGCAGCAAAGCTAAAGCGCCTAAATACGCTCAATTAATCGATCCACAGGGCAATGTAAGTTTAGACACGTGAATCATTAACTAGCTGTCACTAACAATGATCGTACAATATACCCTCTTCTATTTAATGGCGAGTGATACTTTGTAAAGGTATTGATACTCGTAGAACTTCAATTAGTTCTTAATCTGTGCTCATAATATTAATGTTATAATGGTGCTATGAAACTGAAATGGTTAGTTACTGCAGTCTTATTGACGAAGGCAAATTAAGGGAGATTAAAGGGAAAAATACATGGCTGGATGTTGATAGTTCGGGTACCGAGATCGAGATCTTACTAATTTATGTCGGAGCTTGTATATTATGTTATTATTAAGTATATATATAAATTGTATCTCAGAACTATCTTATCATTAATGTCAAACAAACTTGAAGTTGCCGTCTTGCCATCGATTATTGGGACAACTTTCGCGCAATGACAGCTAATTAAAGGGTCTAAACTGGACACAATATCGGGATAAATAGCAAACTAAAAGCAAATTTTAATACTACTGACTGATCGGGTGTCTGAAGTAGTATATATATTTTTTTATATATTTTCACCTTCCCGAGTTTTTAATCATTGATACAAAAATAACCATATCGTTTTATTAAAAAGAACAAGTTTTGTAAGTTTACAATTGCATTAGCGTTAGCAAACCTGTTTTTCACCGATATTCCTTTGATTAATTAAGGTATTACTAATCATTAGTAGCATAAGAATCAAATTGACTGTGTACGTTGTATTTATACTCGTTTATAATTGAATAAGAAAATAAAAATTTCAGATCTAAACAGGGTTGTCACCCGACCCGAATTATGCCTGAACGTTACCGATTTCAATGATGTTGTCCCACGTCACATTTTTCCATTCATTTTTTCCCGATTTTTGATAAACTTGACAGAAATTAATAATTCAAAATACCTAGTTTAAATAACTTCACATGCTACGCTTTTCATCAGACGGGTCTTATGTTTATTGGTTACTTTAATTAATTAAAATATAAATAAAACAAAAAGGTATATTTTATTTTACCCGCAGACTCCGATTACTTCTGATGACCGTCCGAATGTCCTGAATTTTGTTTCCCAAAATGTGACAACCCTGATTCTAAAAGATCATCAAACTAATACGCTCTCGGTAAAAAAGTTCGCAAATGGTTCATTCGTCAACCCATAACTACCAAGCCTCAGGGTATTTTCGGTACTGCCTAACGATGGCACAGATAATATATTACTATAAGTTACGATGGGCTATAATTTAACAAGAAAACGTTATGGTAACGTGTGAAACATCGTGACAGCAACAAACAAAATATAGGTTGTAGGAATACTTACACGACCGTCTTTATAAAAAAGAGAAACCTCAAGTTTATAAAAAAGTAGTAGGTCAAATGATTTTGCGTATAATTACAATTAGAAATATGCAGATTTTCTGTTAATGTTTTCATACGATAATTTATATTGTTATATAACTGTAAAAAAATACTCAGCACCGAAAAATTATAATTTAGTAACAATAATAATTAATGAAAATATGTAAAAATTACGTGCAGTTTAAACGCCGGAATTTTTAATGCGCTTGTCGTAACATCAAAGTATATGACTAGAGATATGACATTTTAATGAGGAAGTATTAAAAAAAAATGATTTTAAATATTTTGTCACAGCGTTACCTACCATTGTAAACTAAGCAGCTATTAGCCATATGGTACGTGTGAACACGTTCATACGAGATTTTCATATATATCGTATGAACTCGGTGAAAATTTAGCATTCGAGTTCGAACCACAAGCTGTGACAGTCTCTAGCGGTCGCTACTAGCGGCCTCGTTTTGAGGATCAACTCGCGCGCACAATCAGCCACACTCACCGGTTTTCATAAGCGCAAAATTGCGGTGTTTTCTTTTTAACTTACAATATAATGCAGTAAATGAGGTTTAGTTTAACGTAATCCTATTATAATATCCGTAGTGTTCAAAGAAAATTTATGAATTTAGAGATAGCGGTAGCCGTGCCACTCGACATCATGTTGAGTGGCCACGACTGGATACGTTAAATGGTCCCGTATTGTAGTTTATGCAATAGCCTTTAAACTATTGGATGAACGAAAGCTTTTGACGCAAAAAGGAGCAAAACAGATCCAATAATTAAAGGAATTTAGATGGAAGTTTAAATGATACATCAATTCCATTTACGACTTTCAATTTAAATTCCTACCATGGGCTTTATAATAGATACTTAATTTACTCAACACATAAACATCATACAATGTATAGGAGTATAAGTCGATGCCAAACAGAAAGTTGCATTGATTTCATAGACCGGGAATGTAGTGAATGTAAAGTGGTACAAGTTATAAGATGCTTGTGATACCTATACTTTTTTCTTTATGTAAACTGGATTAAAGAGGTTGTTAAGTTCAATCTTTCATGAGACTTGTTTGGCCCCAGTAATAATAATGAGCAAAATATGTATAAAAGTAATATCCAAATTTTATATTTACAAATAGCAATAGAGCACTGATCATGTTCTTTTTTTACAAATTAATGTTTACCTTTGAAATAGTTCGACGCAATTCCATAGTACTCAATTTGAAAGAAAAAACGGAATATCCGAGTCATAATTTGCTCCGCTACATTCTTATGACTTACATCGTCCGCCAATGCGGCCCATAGAGGCAGTGCTTTATTACTGCACTCGCATCGATTAATCAACGCCAGCCAGGCGCATCTACGTCACGAGTTTATGGACAATGCAAAATGAAGAATCTGAAGAGTTAAGACGATGCAGCAGGGAGGCAGAACTTAGATGTATTCGGTGGAATAGGGGTAGATGGTGCAAGAAAGGTAGGGTAGATAGGGAAAATTGGCGAAGTTAGGGGAGAGATATGGTATAGATAGATGTATCTGGATATCCGATAATGAAAACAAAACTTGACGATTAAACAAACTCATTATATAGAAATATAACGACCAAAATATGCATGGTCCATTTCTCATATGTAAAAAGTTTTAATTTTTCAGCAAGTTTAAATTCCTTATGCGTTATTCATGATTCATTAAAATAGTATGAACATTAACTTAAGGACATATAAAAAGTACCTAGCAATTTTCAATAATTTCAAGTATAAAAAATGCATCAACATACTTTGATGTCTGCATAAGATCACCTCATTATTATACTCTACTGGAATATTTTGCTTCAATGAAACATCTATAATCAAGGAAAAAATAAATTAAAATTTAAAAATGGAATATACCGATCCCATCTTCACTGAAGAAATTAAATTCCAATCATCGACTGTGCACGATTATGAAGTCAAAAACGAATAAAAAGGGAACATAGTCTAAAGAACATCATATACCCATCTATTTTTAATGGACAACCCTTGGTAACACAGCAGGACTCGACATTAAACACTGCATATTTATCAAGACGTCAATATTAACAAAACTCGCTTTTATTACTCGAAGAATAAGATATATGTGACTCGCAGAAATAAATTTGTGCACAAAAGCAAAGCGAAGTTACTATGATAAAGAAAATGTTTGAAAAGAAACTCTAATATAAAGAGATACAGTTGAGCAAAAGTGTTTTTTATACTTGGATATATTTTGCGGTGCCAGGTTAATGTCCTTTTGACCATAGATCTAGACCATGCCCGAGTTTTTTTAATAATATTAGCCAAAGTAAAAAGAAATACTGTTTGTTTTATAGCTAAATGTTAAATTGTCATTCAGATACTACTATTTATATATTTGGTTTTATAAATAAAAAAAAATCGCGCAACTATAATATCCTGATTATACAACTCTTTGTTGATGATATATTATTGATGATAAAAATAAGTTTTTAAAGGCAAAACTTTGATATCTCGGCTCTAGATTATCTACACGAAAATGAATTCCATATTACACGACGCCGTCGATATCCTCGCGAGCAACGACCAATGGAGGGAACTTGAAGAAGCATGGGGCGATCCTATAGACCTGGACTCGGACAATGAAAAAGAAGGAGTAGACACGCAATTCGAGTTCAGTATGATTAACTTGAGTTTTTCGACTTCGCCGTTTTTGATATCCGACAATGCAACGAGAGAGCAACTCTGGTGGCAGTTTTCCTAGAAATAGGCACTACTAGCCTACACCGAGTTTCTTCAGGGCCTTTATGATGTTGCTACTGTGGAAGTGCCCAGGAAAGAGTCCTACGTGATCGGTGTACAGATTCTGTCAGCCTTATCGGTGGAAGAAATATGCAACAAGAACGATGACATAATCAAATCGGTCTAGGACCTCTATTCGGTTACGAGCACTATGCGATGCCGAAAGGAGAATATCAAAGAAGCTGTCGTCAAGCGCAGTATGTCATATGGAGGATTGTCCTTTGATGACACTGCTGACACCAACATCGATACTGGTGATATCGATAAGTACATCGACGAGGCTTTTCAGTGGCTGAACTCCACTATAGTCAGTATTACCGCTAAAGGTGCCGATACAGATAATGCTGTGAAAAAACTGAAATCAGTGTTAGTGTCTAAGTTCAGTAACATATTGAAACGAACAGCTCATCGATGCCCTAGAAAAAGACTCGAGTCTAATGATAGATTGATAGATTACTGGAGAAGTAGGATTTTAACCTTAGATCTTTAAATAAAATACTTCTTCTATCTCATTTATAACTGTATTGTATCGTGAGGTTAAGTGAATGGAATTGTTGTTTAATTTGTATGTGATACTTTAAGTAGATAATATTGTAGTAAGATTAGTATTTGTCATGTTAATATTGTATTTTGAGTAGGTCCATTCTTCTTTCAAAACAAATGGTAATATTTTTAATGTTACCGTATTTGAGATATTTTTATTATTATTATATGCTATAAATTTTTCATTCACAATGATATACTGAAAAATATTCCTATTGAAAAATGCATCAAAAATCCACTTTGTCCCTAGCACCCTGAAATGGTACGAATTGACGTGTGACCACCGGCGCTGGCCAATCACAGCATTACCTATCTCCCGTCACCTATTTCCTAATAAATATTTCCCGTCATTCTACTTTGAGACACCGCGCAGAGCATATTTATACATTATCTACACGAAAATGAATTTTCCACGTGGGAGAGTCACGCTTCGGCATGAATGGGTCGGCTCGACCGGAGTGATACCACGGCCTCACAGAAAACGGACGTGAAGCAACGCTTGCGTTGTGTTTCGTCGTGTGAGTGAGGGTACCGGAGGCCCAACCCCCCCCCATTCCCTTCCCTCTACCCCTCAACCCTTCCCTCCCTATGATCATATTCGTCCCTCAAAGGCCGGCAGCGCGCCTGTAGCCCCTCTGGTGTTGCAGGTGTCCATGGGCGACGATGATCACTTACCATCAGGAGATCCGTTTGCTCGTCTGCCCCCTATCCCATAAAAAAAAAAGAATTCCATATTATCTGTTCATAAAAAAGAAAATGGAAAATCAGCTGTACAGGGCAAATATCCAAAGCCTTTAGATGGATTTTTTAATGTTTTAACTTCTTTGGACAAATGGCGGACTTAATGCAAATAGGCATTCTCTACCAGTCAACCGGAGAGTTATGAGATAGAGACTTTAATGTACAATAAAAAAATTGAAATAGAAGGATTTTCCGACTTTCGTTTATTTAAGTTCTAATTATTATCGTAGAGAACCGTACGCACATACCGAATTTGACACCATTCCTTGTGATTGCGTTTAAACTACCTATAATTTAACTTTTCTACGCATCACCAGTAATTTCCTACAAACGCCGTCATTAACCCGTTTTGAAATTACTTAACCACCGTATAGGTAGTAATATATTTTTAAATTTAATGATGGTATATTATTGTGAGAAATTGTGACACAATACAGTGATTTGTGAATTTAGAAATTATTATAATAAATATTAAGCTAGCGTTTGTCTTGGCAAATTTGAAAAGTAATCGATGCATTGACATAGATTTTTTTTATATAACAGTGTCTCTATTATTACATTTTAATTGAAAAGTTCCCACGGTAACTCTCACAGTGAAAATTCACCGCCTTATATTATTTTGCCTCTGCAATAGGCTTTTTTTTTACTAATTTTGCTCATTTGACATTGACCTCGGTAAATTGTTGTACTCGTTCGCTCGCTCTACCGTGCGGAGGTTAAGTACCATTCGCAGTGGCCGAATATAGGATGGGTGACTAAAAATTAATTACCCTCCGTGGTTTAACAACGACAAACCGTTAGTCCCGATTGCATCTGCATTCGTTAATACCCACTAATCCAGCCTAGGCCCATTCTCTGTATTTGATTCCATCCATTGGGAAGACCTATGCCTTTGTGAAGACAGTAATAGGGTGATGACCCGTGGATCGAGTGTCGCACGCAGTCACGCTGGCGTTTCAGGTTGTATTCCCAATTGAGCCAATATATGAAAATCAAAATAAAAATTACTTTTACAATAATACTAGTGGCCGCCAGCGACTTCGTCCGCGTTTTCCATTATTTCTTTGCTCCTAATAGTTGCAGCGTGATGTTATATAGCCTAAAGCCTTCCTCGATAAATGGTCTATTTAAAACAAAAATAATTTTTCAATTCGAACCAGTAGTTCTTGAAATTAGCGCGTTCAAAGAAACAAACAAACTCTTCAGCTCTATAATATTAGTATAGATTTAATTCAAGTATGTCGAACTTTGGAAATTTTATCTTATCTTAATCGAGTCTGATGTAGGTTCCCGTATGTGAAAGGATTTATAAAACCGATCCTGTAGTATATAAGCCTATTTTATTCAAAGAAACAATTTTTTCCATTTTATTATATTAACAGTCATTAGTTTAAAGCGGCATTAGCCACCCTAATTTCAGATTCATTAGAGCTTAATAGACGTTTGTGTAACTGAACATAAGTATAGTAAATATTCCTAGAATTCGATTGACCACAGTGATGATCACAAGCTGGAAAGAATATATCGACGCTGGAAAGCAAACACGTAGTAACCTGCAAAACCAAAATTAATATAGAGAGTGGAAAATTTTTATATTTAAAAAAATATATATCTTATTTCCTTATCAATTGTCTAAGTGACACCTTATTTGTGACCATGGACGTTTATAGGAATTATTTATCTAAAAAATAAAAGTTTTTTGCTTTGAATCACAATTTTGGTTTTGCGGGTTATACGTGTTAGATTTCCAGCGTCGATATTTAAAAAGTTGTCTTTTTTAAAATTTATTATACCCTTCATTTTAATTAAGCAGTTTAAATTACAAAAGCGTAGCTTAAGAAGAACTATTATGTGATCAGGTGCACCATTAAATCATTAAAAATATATGTATTCAGTTATTCGTATACGATGAACGACACCTTAAGTTTTTATCATTAAATATGCTCCGAAAGTTAACTTTAATCCGTCTATATAGAGTTCATAATTATGTCGAATAAGTACGCAGTATTATAGGGTTGATATAACACGTCCGACTGTGGGTCATGCATGTCATATTTATGCAAGACACGAACTAGCAAATATATCATATGCGTTTAAATAAAATTATTTCATTCGAAATTCAATTTTAACGCTTCGTATTAAGTGATATTGAACGATCGACTCGAGTGCTCATTTAATTAGGTGCACCATGAGCTTGACACAGTTACCTTATACGATTCTACCATGCGTCGCCATTTGAATTTGGTTTTTATTGTTGTCGTATTAAAAACGTTTTTTATTCGCTGTGTTGAAATATTAAGGTGCTAGAAGTCTGTGCCATTGTTTCGGTCAGGTTTGTGCCTTATAAGGAAACCAGACTGGAGTTCTATCAAAGGCTTTGTGTCACTTTACTGCGCAGTTTATAAATAAGATAATTAGAAAATTGTATATAATTCAAATAAAAAGAATGTAACAATAATTTCAATAGATTGCAAATAAATATTTTGAAATACAGCATAATATATTAAAATTTGTAAGCTTGTGTTCTAAGATACCACAACTATAACCAAAAATACCAATATATATTGGGTTGGCACAAAAGTAATGAGACACACTAGAAAAATCTATAACATTTCCTTTTTAAAATCAATTTTTTCGATAATATTCTAGAATGTTGTAGAACATTCTAGGTACTTCTGGTGTAGGGTATATAAAGCCGCGCTCGCGATTTGTTTAGTCAGTTTGTAGAAAAATGGACGAGCGATAAGTTCGAACACTATACTTATACGAGTACTTGTTAGGCCACAGTGCGCGGGCTGCAGCTGACAATATCAACAATGCATTAGGCGCTGGAAGTACAAGCCATGCGACGGTGTCCCGATGGTTTGACCGTTTTAAATCAGGAGACAGGAGCCTTGAAAGTCAGCCACGCTCAGGGCGACCACCCGCAGTGAATGATGACGATTTGCGCCGCGAACTGCAGTTGAATCCGGATGCTACCACTCGTGAATTAGCGGAAGCACTTAAATGCAGTCACCACGCCGTGGAACACCATCTGCATGAGCTTGGTTATCGAAAAGTTTTGGCTCGGTGGGTACCGCACATCCTTACTGACGCCAGTCGTGCAGTCCGTGTCGCTATCTGTCAGTACTTTTGCTGCGACCCCGACGTAAAAAGTTTTTGTCAGATCTGGTTACTGGAGATGAATCATGGATTTATTACGAGAACGATACACGTCGTGCTTTTTGGCTGCCTCGAGAAGAAACGCCACCAACTCAACCGAAGCCGAGTCAAAAGAACCGCCGAAAAATTCTGCTTTGCTGTTTCTGAGATGCGCAAGGCATACTGTTTTATGAGCTATTACACAATGAAACTATAAACGCTGACAAATATTCAACCCAGCTTACCAAATTATCTGCCACTATCAAGAAAATACGACGAAAACGAGTCAATGTAGTTTTACTGCACGATAACGCTCGACCTCACGTCGTATCTGTGGTTCGCCGGCAGTTGGAGAACTTGGGCTGGGAGACGATAACACACCCACCTTATTCCCCAGACCTCGCCCCATCAGACTATCATTTGTTTAGAGCCCTGAAACAGCATTTGCGGAGTAAACAATTTAATGATTTCTCTGACGTAGAGGCGGAGTTGAACAACTTTTTCGAGGCACAGCCATCAGAGTTCTGGGCAAAAGGCATCCAAACTTTGCCGGATCGTTGGCAAGAAGTCTTAGATACTAATGGTAATTACATCATTGACTAAACTTTTTTTATTGTAATAATAATAAAAAAGTAAAAACTTAAACCAAGTGTCTCATTACTTTTGTGCCAACCCGATATTAATCTATTCATTTTTATCCATCATGAATCACAAGAATTGTGTCTTTCAAAAAACAGGGCTCTGACGTCGCTGCTTTACTAGTGGTTCCATCTATGTCATGGTATAATTAAAAAAAGAAATAAGAATATCTAAGTTAATAAATAATAGCTAAGTTAATTAATATGTATCGTTTTTCGAGAGAAAAATAATAATAAGATGACCTTTTTAGAACGTCCTATTATAAGGAAAACTATTTACTCTTTCTAAAAAAAAAGAATATCCACGAAAATAAATTCAAATATGGGCCAGTGTCTCGAGTCGTGCCTGCGGGAGAACTGTTCGAACAAATGCATAAGTTTTAAAATGCCAATGCAATGGAAGATTGCTTATTGTCACGATATATATATTATATTCATAATATATATACTCGTATAAGTATATACAACAGTTCCATAAATTGTAACTGTAACTGAGACCTTTTTCTTTGATACCTTTAAAACAATTTTCAACCTTCTTGAATGAAAATTTGCGCACTCGCGTTGACGTTTGACCTATGACACAATTTTGTCAACAGGTGTAACCTATTTGGGCAGACGAAAACGATTCAATACATTGTATAAACTTTATTACGACTGTCAAGAATCATGAGTTTAACGATACCTTTTGAACCTCATGACTGGCTTAAAAATGCCATGGTTTACAATAAAAGATTCACAAATATTCCATCGAAGTGGATCAAGGAAAATACAGATGTCCTGCTTCTTCTTTTTAATACCAAAGGGGCAGACAAGGATGGCATTGTGCAGAAGTTCTATCATATTTACGAATGTATTAAGCATGCTAACATACCTATAGAGGTTATATATGTGCCGCTTGAAGAAACTGAAGACGAAATGAAAGCCAGCTTCGAAATTCAAGCTAATTGGTTTACTCTTATGTTTGATGATTCCCTAGTGCTTGAACTCATGTATATGTACCAAATTACTTCGGTGCCGCACATTTTGGTCCTAAAGCCTGATTGTACTGTGATATCATATCATGGGATAATGGATTTGGAGGAATACGGGAAGAATGCGGTGATAACATGGCTTTCCACTACTGCTTGTAAGAAGGAGAGGAAATTGAATAAGGAGGCAGACATGTATGGTAGTAATTGGAATTACTTGAAGATAGGCACCGGTGACAATAAATCTATATACCGTAGGAGATTCGCTCTAAAATCTTAACAGTCATGAGATTCTAGTATACTTTGCATTAAAACATAGATACTTTATATTTAAATCTATTTTTCCTGCCTTTTATTGAAGCTATAATAATATTTTTAAAAAAAGTTTGGTTGTCAGTGCCTTACTCGGTTTTATAAGTTCTTTCCTTGTCAAGATGAGCGATAACCGTCTCTCTTTTCAATAGACACATCAACGTTGATATACGATTTTAAGTTTATATACTTTAAAAATTTTCTTAAACTTGGTAACGCTATTTAGTAATATATAATATTTTATTGTAATAAAATTATTTGATTTTAATAAAATAAAGGGCGAAGAAATACACTTTACTATATTAATATTTTCATTATTTAAGAGGACCATATTTTTGTATGCCTTTCATGAAAATTAATTTTTACTTGTAAAATGATGTTATACGAAGCTCATGGCGCCATCTGTTGAACCTAGCGTAGACTAAACACAGATTCAAATGGTGTAAAATAGCCGTAGATCTAATTTATTGAACAAACAAGATTTTCTCATTAATAAAGTTTTTGGTTATTTGTTAAATGAAAAAAAGAAAAATATAACTCTTTCCAATTGTAAGTACAACAACATAACTTTATTTAATGTCAAACATTATCAGATTCTTGCGCATGTGCTGCATTTATTCGATATAATACCTACTCAAACATTTAGCCAAACAATCGATTAGACAACGATCACATTTAAGACAAAATATTTATGCGATCGATATTATCTGCGATGGATAAAAAAACAAACAAAGTAATCAATTTAAACAATAACCCTTTTCTTGACAATTAAAAATGATTCCGTGATAAACCAGTTTAAATTTTTTTTTTGTTATTGTCCGGAAATTTATAATATTGCATTAACTTCACTTACCAAAGTATTAATTAAATTCATTCACTCACGGGTAGCTATAAGTAGGGCGAAATCACGGGCAAACAGCTAGTATCTTATAAAGTTGTTTGACTTTAATGAAATTTGATTCCATTAGTATAATGTTATTAGGGAAATAAATAGAAAATGTTATCGGAAACCCAGAGATAGACCTATATTGAATTATTGGTATGAGAAAACTATATTTCTTTTTAAACTTTTTTTTCTACTGAATAACTTGTGGCGTAAGTAATCGGTAATATACCTGAGAATAGTCGCAAAAAAATGCGAATATGTAACAAGGCGAAGTTTCGTCACAATAGCAATGTGGGTTAAATCTAAACCAGTTTAAGGTGTCTAAACGTATTTTGTCAGGCGATTATTAATCATATCGCCGAAAGCTGATGTGCTTTAATGAAATAACCATTCGATAACATCATAATACATGCGGCCCCAATTGTCTCTGACATTATTCGAGACAGGTACTTCATATTCTTTACAATCGAAAATGTTGAAATATACTTTTACGTTTTTGTGCAATCTGAATCGTCTGCAGTTTTTGGCATAAACTGCCATCTAGTGTCGAATAGCGGAAACAGTGTTAAGCTAAAACTTAATTTTGTTAATCAGAGGCTAAAATTTTTAGCTCTTATTGTTATTATGAAAGAGTGTCAAAAGTTCAGTTTTACTGATAGACAAATACTAAAAGGATGAATCAGTTATAAGTAAGGAGTTTATTCTAATAAGCCTAAGAATTCTCTGTCTATTACGATGGAAATGGTCAATAAATGAATATAATATAAATGTTAATAATCGCATGCATCCACCCGATGCAAACAATACAGCCTGCTGCGTGACGATGAATGCGTTAAAACTTATGACTGTAATAAAATACGTGCATTGCCAAGTTCAATTTACATAGCACGATATTTTTATTAACTTTTTTTTTTTAATACTATAAATATAGCAGCTATAAAACACTTAATCTCGGTTAATATCTTCAAATGCGGCTGTCCACATTTTTATTTATTTAACTCCGTATTATATTTATTTATATAAAATAATATTATTATTCTATATTTTTTGGTTTCAATGTAAACAGTCATTGAAAATCTAAAATATTGTATTCTAAATATAAATATCTAAAATTAATCAAATTTATACTCGATCACAAATATTCTTGGCGATCTGTCTGGAATAGCAGAACTTGCCCGGACTTGCTAGAGCAGAAATTTTCAAAATTGTATCTTAAAAATTGAGGTAGTTTCTTTTAAGTAAAGTAAGTAAGTTTGTAAATGTTACACGAGCACTTTTTAATGGCTATTTTCAAATTGTAGAATTTTGTACTGCAAAAATCGTTAAGCAGTCTTGAGTTGTAAAGCGTCCTTGTCATAAGTTACTCTTCACTAGGAGGTCCTGTACGTTATGCTGTAATGGCAGGTAAGAGGTTGGGGCCCTTGGGCTATTTGTTAGGTAAATGCTGAGCTTAACAATACGCGGGCCTATGTTTATGACCCTAAGCACTGTACAGGATGTTATGTTTGGTCGACGCCATTATCATTGCTCAAGGACTTATCCGTTGTGTTGTGATGTCGTTAAAATGGAGTGAAGTCAGGGTTCAAAATATTTTTACTGTTTAGATATAATAAAATAGATATAATAAATTTGAAAAAGGCATTGTTTTTGTTTATTCAATTAGTTTTTCTATAATAGAGCTAAAATTAAATTAATATAAAGGAACATAATGATATTGTAGTTTATATGACGACACCGAAAACCATCTGCAATGTTGCAAAAGTAGAAAAAAAAATTATAACAATTTTACTGTAAAATGAAAGAAATATACGTTGATTTTAAGTATATGATAACGATATCATATTTTCATATGCATTAGTTTTCTTGCTGGTTTGTTTTTTTTTTATAAAAATATAACTATTAATTTTAGTAAAGAATTAATTGACTACGTGTTTTTATTGGCACGTATTTAGTACTAAATGCAGTTAGATTTCGGCTTAGATTTTTTCTGATTTCATGTCTGTATTTCAATATAATGTCTGTGCAATAAGTGGATAAATTATTATGTCACTACTAAGTGACAAACATAGTCAGTAAGTTACTATAACAGTATCAATATCAGGCGATCATAACTTTCCAGGAGTTATTCGTGCCAATCAACACTAAAGGGGAGCTCTATGAAGTGTGTCCTGAAGAGTTATCGCCCGCCGAATGGGACACTGCGGGGGAGGGGCCAGCGAACCCTCCTCCTGCGGAAGCAGGTGCGAGGGCGCATCGTCTCCCTCATCTCCTAAGCCTGTGGCGACTGCCGACGAGGGTCAGACTGCTAGCTGGCACAGTGCCTATTGAGATGGCGCATGATGTTGGAGGTGAGTGAACTATTTAGTGTTGCAGACGTATCACATACCTACATAATAAAACCGCTAACCTATTAATGTTTTCACTACTGTGAGACAGAAACAGGACTAACGGCTTAACGTGCCTTCTAAAGCACAGACGAGGTTAATTTTTTTGGGAACCCGTTTGATAATAGCTTATATAATAGCTTTTGTAAAATTTGCCTTACCTCTATAGCCATAAATCTAACACGCTTATGACAGCGGTAATGAGCTATGTTACCAATTGATTGATCGAATACATATATTTAAAAAAAAATAGGTACCAAAAAGTTAAATAAAATACGCAAAAATGTTGTACCTATAATTTTAAAATTTACTTAGCTTGTCATTTATTAAACAGAATCGTGCCGTATAAGATATTATTATTGATCTATACTTTATTTTTCCATTTCCAGATGATCTTTTGTTACGAACAGCAGTTACCGAGCCAGTTCTAGTGATGTGCACACTTCCTGAGTATAATGGCTTACCATCCAGTCCAAGCAAGCAAGTGGATCCTCGGTACCACGCCAAAGAAGCTTTGCAACTCCTCCCTTTAAACGGTAACATTAGGATTCGTCGCACACAGCTCGGCTTTGAGAGTGAGAAACGAATGTTCCTCTCCGCGCGGCTACAAAAAGCTCTAACCTTCTGTCAATTAAACGTTGACAACTGGATCAGGCAAATCTCCTACGCCAACCACTCTGTCCTCGGTAAAGCGAAAACCGCAGAAGAACTGTTGAAAGAAGACCATGAACCAGTCAAGTTTGAGAAAGAGAAGAAATTCACTTTACAGGGTCTGAAAATTGACACGTCTAGATTATTTGGGAAAAGTGAGAAGGTTCTCAAAGATATTCCAGATGAAACGGAAGGGTCGATAATATTTTTAAGTAAAAACGAACTTCAGCATATGAATTATGACGTTTATAGCGATGACGAAGGAAAAGATGACACGAAGAGTGAAGATAAAATTGAACAAGAACAGTTTTCTAATGACAAAATGCATGTTTTTAGAGAAGATTCTGGACAGAAGAAAAATAAATGGTTCAAAAATTTGAAACTGTTAAAGAGTACAGAAAAGTTAAATGAAAAAATTACAGCTATCGAGAACAGCGAAAAGTATAAAGATTTTAAAGACCCCTTTGATCCTTCCGCTGAAAAACATAGCTCAATAGAAAGATATCAAGACATGGCTAAACTTATTGAAGATAGATTTGGTGGAAGTAGGAAAAATGATGGTACAGCTGAGAAGAGTCACTCTTACAAGAGCCTTACCACGTCTTCATCTGATATGGGAACAAGTCAATGTAGTTCTAATCACAAAAAACCTATTCTCACAAAATCTGTTTCTGTTCAGACCGGTATGCCGGATGGTACATACACAACTGATGAGGATTCTGGAATCAATATCAAACATGGACGTAAAAACCTTAGTGTAGATCAAATAAATTATTGCGGCTCTATGGAAAGCGATTCTAGTTCAGGGCGAAAACTCAAGTCCCTAGACGAGAATATGTTGAAAAAATCAATGGCAACAAAATCATCTATAAACCTAGAAAGGAGACAGAGGATACAACCCGATTTGATACCAGAAAAAGCCATTGTCAAGTCAGAATCTTACAATCAAATTCAAAGTTGCGAAGACATAAATATGTTTGGTGTCGGCTCTCTGTATAATGACAGCGACTTTGAAATAAATTACAAACAACATTCTTTCATTACCGAGAAACTATGCTCAGAATTTCACGTTAAAACGAAAAGGGTTCTCAGTAAATCTACTTCAAATTTACTCCATCCAAAAAAACCTAGTGATAAAAAAGAAGGCAACAACAGCAACAGTATGCCGACAAAAACTGAAAGATCCAGTGATTGTGAAAAACTATCGAACTTCAGAAAGAAAATTGACAAACCAAGAGCTCCGACGCCCAAATCAGAAATAGACGAAGATCTCACACCGGTTGATATATCCGAAGAAGAGCCAAATGCTCAAGTGAAGATTAGGCGATCCATATCCTCAATACAAAAGCGTAAATTACCTGTGATAGAAGACTTACCGTATGGTCAAGTAGCAGACGCTGTTGAAATCGAAGTAGAAAAAGTAGATTCTGATGCCAGCTCTGATAATATTTACGCGGAGATTTGCACACCTATCAACGGTAATAAAACTAGCGACGACGAAAACTATGATAACAATATAGACATTTTAGCGACAGATCCTGTAATTTGTAATGTTAAGAAAGAAGTGACCATAAGAAACGACGAGAGAGCGAGACAGATGATAGAGAATCAGGAGAATCCTTTCAGACATATCGAAGTGGTGGTTATAGAAAAATCTACAGACTTCGATTTGGACAATTCCAGTATGACTTCTAGTGATATTGAAGATTTAGGAAGTAAGAATGATGTTTCTATAGCTATTGATTCATGGGAACGTGATAAAGCCAATAATTCGGCACAGAAAATCCATGCTATTAGATTAGAGATAACCAGTAGTAATTTTGATGAATATCCTATGCATAATAACGAGAGGCAAAACATAGAACCGACTGAAATACTTTTGACTAAAGACAGTTTAAGTTTTAGTAACAGTATACATCTGAATGGTACATATCCCAGCGAGGCCATCTACGATACTTTAAAATAATTAGTTTTATATATACGAGTAATTATACATAATGTCACAATGTTATATTAACGTGTTTTAAACACGTTATTATTTTAACGTGTACATAATCATGTTAGTTATTATGCTTTTATAGCATACGAATTGTCTAAAAAGTCGGTAGGTTAAAATAGTTTTTATTCAATAAGTCTCTCTTTTTTGAATATTCCATGACAATAGGGTTCCAAAAAGGTTTTATATTAAAAGAGGCAATATTGTCTTTTATTATTAAA